GACACTTTGTTTAAAAAAAACAAAATGTCACTTTACACTGTAATGGCAAAAGTAAAATGTCATTTGACTTTTTGTTTTAGATTCCTATTAGAAACGCTGTTTGCGAATGATTAATTCATGCATGTCAAGTCATTTAAGCTGCAAATGCAGGTCTGAAGACGACAATGGCAAAAAATTCACTTCAAAATTTTGCAACAAGTTTTTCCTCTCTGTAACAAAGCGCTTCTAAACTCGTTCAAAAACAAATAAAAGAAAAAGATCGAAAAGTATGCTAGTAATTCTTCATTTTCAGGCTGCACAAAGAGTTCTGCCGAAAATAAAAATCAGTGAAATAAATGACACTAAGCCTGATTTATTGAGAAAAGATATTTCGTCCGATTGGAAAGATTTCCTGTCAAAATGGGAAGCGTTTAGAGCGAAAACTGAGAACTTGTACCTCATTTGTGGCTGCTAGGACCATGTAATCTCACAACTGGTATATGTATCCGATAGAGCATTCAACTCTACATCTAATACGATTGATGAGAGACCGAACACAAATATAATACGGAATCAGCAATGAAAATACAGCAGAAAACCTATTCGACACCCAGTATTTTGCGCTGGACCGCTCTATTTGCTCGATGGCTCCCATCTAAAAATTTTACCGTTAGATAGAGCTCGAAATTCTGCATCCAGCACAACCAAGTTGAGAAACCTCAGAGGTGCATAGGCGAATCCTGACAAACAATATTAATTTTGCGAACCTAGTGCACGGAAGTAAAACCAGTATTTTCATGAGAGACCCCACTTTTTGCTCGACGACTCCACCTAAACCTGTTACCGTTAGATATAGCTCAAAATTCTGCATCCAGCACAATCAAATAGAGCATCAGCACAGGTCTTTAGCGGAATCCTGATAGAAAATACGCGAATCTGGTGCTAACATTACCTACGTCGATTGACCGGGGATATATGTATATAATATAAGATGATATTTATTTTCATGATACAATACTTTCTATACTGATAACTATTTAAATGACTACCCGTTTCATTGTCTTGAATAAAGAGTATTTTATTCTAAATCATTGCTAATATTTGCTATTGATTATCAAAGATTGCTTTGATTGCAATCAGGTTTTCGCCGTTGCGTTTGAATAAATTTTTATCACATTATAATTTATTTTACCAAATTCATGCAGAAGAAAACATCTCTATATTAATTGAGGAAGAACTGAAAGCACTATTATAATCATCAAAAATGACTATTTGCTATTATAATATAAAGAAATGGATTTGAGCTCTAAATACCCAACGATACTGAAAGAGAAATAAAAAATTTTCTGTATATCTTAGTCGTGATGTTTAAAATAAATTTTGCACTTCTGATTATCCGAAGCTATTGTTAAGTAGTTATATCTTCTATTTATGTTTTCTTTCTTTTCTTGTGACGTCATCATATGTATTCCATCTATATGTATGTGATCTTTCTATTTCTAGTATATTCGTTCTCCTTCTTTCTTGTGTATGTGTTCTCTCGTGAGTTCTTAACTCTCTATTATCTTCTAGTGAATTCTGTGACTTTCCGTAACTCCGTATGTATATATATATATATATATCTGTTGTTTACAACAATAAAGTGATATACACATACGTGATAACTGAAGCTTTTATTAGGCTAACAATTGGATAGTGATTCACAACCTATTACTATCGTATATGTAATCTAAGAAAATACATTTCTTGTAGAATTAAATTAATTACTACTTTTCCATAATGAAACTTACAGCAGAAGGGGTTTGTATTTTAATTGAAGAGTATGGAATACATGCTGGTTTCATTAAAGGACTCATTAGAAAACTAATGAATTCAAAATATAAACTTCTTCTGACATGAATGGACTAAGATAGTTGACATTTAGCATATTCATGTGTATTCTATATGTGAAACAATTATCATTTTATTGTTAACATTTTTGGTCAACGTTCATCGATTTCTATTGGAAAACTTTATTTTAAAATACAAAAAAAAGATTTTAAAGACAAAACTTAAACGATAGAGTGAGTTCTTTAATAAAGCGACATGTGCACGTTAAATAATGATTGCCATTAAATTTATTGTTCTAAGTGTAAAACATAATTTCATAGAACTCGATGAGTTCTATTCAACTATGATTAGAATAGAAAAAAAAATCATTATGAAGTTTTTAATGTCTTCGTACGTGAAATGTGTTATAAATATTTCAGTTCGTTGCAATCCGCAGTAGTTCATATTTGTAGTTCATTAGTTCTGATAAGCCCTTAAATTATACCCGAACGTCTTTAATATTCTTCACTTAAATTGCCCATAATTTTGAATATTAGATACATGAGAAAGATTTAGTCTGAGCTCTACATGAAGTGAGACAGCAATATCCGTTATCGGAGGCGTAATGGCTAGGTAGGTGTCGTGACTACCATTTATCTATTTGAAACATTTCCATTTTCATTTTCATTTTTATTATTTATATTTATTAAGTGCAATTATTAAAACTTGCAATTATCTTCTTATTACAACCTGCCGACAGCTCAAAAGAATAATTTCTTGACATAATAATATATTTATTACTATTTATAAACATAATGTTGATTGACTCTGTAGATTTCTTGACAAAAGAATTCTATTCCACTTAACTAAAAGCTATACTATAATTTGTAGTTATTTTATGTAAAAATATCTACTATTAACTTATATTATATATGCCGAAACATTTCATCTCAGCATTCTTTCATTTAATATAACAGTAAAATGCCGAGTTGAGTCTTTTGCATTAAAGTTCTTTTGTTCTTACTCTTTTTATTTCATAATATATTATTTTATGTAATCGACTTCTTAGAGTAGATAGAAGAGTAAATGATACGTTATAATATTTCTATGTCATGAATCAACGCTAGTTTTAGTCGCAAAAAATGAATGGTTCATGTAACATCTGTACGATGATATGTATTTACAGGGTGTAATAATAGATTTTGAAGATGCATTTCATTTATTTTATGCAAAGAAAAGAAACCAATTATAAATGAAAAAAAAATGGCACAGTTCGAAATAGATATAGAAACTAGAAAAACACTTTTTTTTGTTTTTATTTAACAGATGCAAATGTTCTTCAAATATCTTATTTTAAAAACTGTTGTTGAATATTTGTTCATAATCTAATCAGAAGAGATTATTCTATAGGGATCTCTTTTTTCTAGATAATTGATAAATTTTCGATTGTTATAAATGAGATGGCATCGATCTCGAAGAATTATTTGAACTTAAAACAATTAATTTTGTTGATGGCTCATTATTTAATCGAGAAATCGACGAATTGTATCGTAGATTTTCACTAAATGTACTTAGTGACTGATTATATGTTGAATTCATTTGTTTATCATTAAAATAGTTTTTGTCTAATTTTATTCTATGTGCTGAATTTGTACTCTGATCAATAGTAATTTGGCGTATCTCAATATTCATTTGTGGACAACACAATGAACACAATTTTCTGATCCCATGCTTAAATGTTTCATTGAAATAACTATAAAGAAATGGATTTGACATTGCTGATATCATACATATTAGAAAACGTAACGGAAGATATTTTGATAATTCATTTGATGTTCGTTCAGGAGAAGGCTGAGTATCTTCTAAAATAATTTAAAAAGAAATAAAAAATGTTTTTTTGATTGCCTTGTTGTTTAAAATAACCTGATGTCTGAAATTGATTAGTATATGTAAATAAGATGTATGAAATATTAAATGGTAACCAGCTAACTGCATATAGTGATACAATCAATAATAGAAGTACATTATTTCGTCGATGTCGAGAGATTTCATGACGTAATGAAGCAATATTATTACGTTTCATTAAGAAACGAAATCGAAATCCTATGAAAGAGAAATAAAAAAAGAAATATGTTTTGTCTTCACTTATTAAAACTCCTAATTATATTCTATTTTTTTATGTTCAATTGTATAAAATTCCATGTGTAATTTTATGTATAATCTGATTATGGTGTTGAAACGAAAAATGTCTTCACGCCATTTTCCATAAGTATATCTCGAACTTTGAATGACTATTTTTAAAATGAAAAGTTCATCTAATTAAAACGATGTATCTAGAAATTCTTTTTTCTCCCTTCTATTAGAAACCATATTTTGAATAATTTGTGATAAATTATAAAGATATTTTTTTTTTCAAGTGGATAGCTTAATTTGAACCAACAATCAAAAGATTTCATCTAATTTGATGATCAATCAAATAAATGCATCTTCAATTATGATACATGAAATTCTAAATGAATATCAATAGACCACGACATTTTACCAGAGCTTGATTTTTTATTGAATCAATATTTCGACGACTATCTGAAATAAATGTGGAAACTTCGGATTTCATCCGAAAGTTATGTTTACTGCAAAAAAAGTGCATGGGACATATGAGCCATTNGAAAAAAAATTCCCTGTACTCCTCCTCAGGGATGGCCTGGTCAAAAATGACAATTTTTTCGATAACTCAACCATTTCTTGAGGGATTCTTCTCATCTTCGAACTCGACCGAGATATTCATGAGATTGAACTGTGTGGAAAATTTCATCACGGTCTGACTCTCCTTTCAAAAGTTATCGTGCCTACGGCCGGACAGACACACTGACCGATTCTAGAGTGTACTCACTTTTTGAGTACACAAAAAGCAAATCTTTCTATCGACTATTATTTTAAAATTCTTTTGGAATATTGGTTACTTTAAATATGTGTAATAATAACACAGAGCAAAGATTATTTTTAGGAGTTTCACAAAGCTACAAGATTTGGGTCACAAGAAAATTTTGATAAATCAACGAGCTGGTTGGAAATTTGCTTCAACTGATAAGATTTTGAGAGAATGACAAGAAAAGTTTTTTGTTTTATTTCTAGATTTGCCAGAAAAAAATGAATGAAACGTTGTCAGTCGGCTGAGATATGCAGAAGTATCTCAAAATGAGTCAATCAACCTCATCATCAACTCGAAACAGCTACGGTTATCTTGTTTGCATCTTGATGCTATTCTCTAGAATATAAAAGTCATGTAAATCTGTCTTGTTTTCATCTTTTTTACTTGCTCTAATAAAAAACGGGTAAATTGCACGTTTGCGTTTTGTAGTACGTCACTTCTAAATCCATTCACTAATATCTCTTAATTAAAAAAACTTTTCTTCTAGTAAGTAATTATTCTTCATTAGAATAAAGTTTTCTTAGGAAAAAAGTATTCTTTTTGTTACTTACGTTCTCTTAATTTGATCACTATTTGATAATAAGTAATACAAATAATTAAAATCGGAAGAATAAATTGAAGAAAAAGCATAAATATTGTGTATGAAAGTTGTAATCCACTATGCTTAGGCCATGACTCATGACAAATATGTAAACGTTTGTACATACTAAAATATTTTTCTTCACATGAACTATTTAATTCTTGACTACAAATATCTGTAACCATCGTATCAATCAAAGATTCATCATAAGCTGGTATTGATCTTGAATAAAAAAATAGTGGACTTGCCGCACCGATAGCTAACAACCATATAGAAATCATAATAATACATGTTGAACATACTCCAATAAAATTTTTATGTGGATAATATACTACTAAATAACGATAGACTGATATTGTGACAATAGTTAATGATGATACACATATATTTATAGCTGGAAAGCTATCTGCCAGTTTACAAAAGGCTGGTGGAAATGACATATAAACATACAAACTTCGATAAGTATTTAAAGGCATTGTAAATAAACATAAAACAAAATCGCTCAACGCTAAATTAATAATAAAACAATTGTGTGATGTTTGTAGTGTATTTGATTTACTCAAAAATAATATGATAAATATAACAAGAATATTTCCAATAATACCAATAATACTTTCCAATATTGATATTATTATAAATGGGATAAGTAACCAACGAGGTAAAGATTCAAATTCAGGAATTAAAGAATCCGTTGAATGTAAATCTAGCACTGCCATATTGTATAATTAAGTGTCAATTACCTTCATTTATTCATTCCTAGCAATTTATCTGAAGTAAAGCAAGGTTTTTTTTTCTTCTTAGCTGTTCTTACTTGTAAGCATGAAAGAAAATGAGAAAAGTAGAGAATAAAAGAAATGTAAGTAATACTAGCGACAACGATGTTTGTGTCTTTTTCTACTATTATTCGTACTTCATTCTAGATTTATTATACTAGAGTATCTTTCTTCTCCTACATCCATATATTTGTTCATCGTCAACTAAACAAGACAATATAAGATTGATTGATTCACAATTCTATGTTGTTGATCATCTTGTTGACCTTCATAAGATGTTCTTATGAGAAATCGTGACATAGATAATGTTGTGTCTGAACCATCAAAACAGTATTACTAGATTATACTTAATCATATAGGAACACAAAGGAAGGCAAGTTCTAAAAGAAGTTCATTCATCTCAAAAGCAAACCAACTGCTAAATAAATCTAATCAATTTAACCAATCATATTAATTGCATTAAAAATATACAAATTTATTTCTCTTGATAGTCTTATGTATAAGAGTAGAACATTTTTATTCATTTTTCAATAAAACCATGCAAGTTAACTCTAGTTTTATATCTTATAGTCGTACTAAGAAACATTTTCTTTGGTTAAACTTCAAAATCTATATCGAAATCATGTCATAGTCTACGCGCCAGAATCTTTTTAATCGAAAATATCACATGTATATTATAGTTTTTATGCTTGCAAACAAACATCTAAATGCATATCACAGAGCATTCAATAGTTTCTCTTTTTTAAAATAAAATTGAATAAAAGTCAGTGATAACAATAAGAAATAATCTATGATTATTAAAGCTGTATGTTCATTAATTTAATTTTCACATATCTGGAATGATTTTACTACTGCTACGAATAACAAAAATATATGCTAATCTATACTTAATTTATTTTAGTTTACCGAATATATAGTATACCGTCAATAACATGCGTTTGCTTATTAAATCAAACCATTTGTTCAAATAAAAAGAATTTGTTTATTGTATCATATGATTAATAAAAATACTCCAAAGAAATACTATAGCATTTCTTATCCGATTTCAAAATTAATCAACGCTGCAGATTTAAAGCGTTGTGATTTCATGAAAAACAATTATCTGAAAGAATCATTGTAATCGGTTTATGTTATTTATAAAAGTATTATTCCAATAATGGCAAAGCTACAATAAAATACGCGATTTTAATCTTCTTCATTTCAAGGCACTTATATGAATGAGATTGCTGTGCTCTACTCTAACAACCTGCTCTAATTGAAATACTATGAATATCATAAAAGGGAAAAAAATAATTGACAATACTGTTGTTCACAAATAAATGAAGATAACTAAGAAAAAAATGCTCTTTCCGGGAAAAAATCATTTCCATTTTTTGAATATCAACAACTAGCTCTGCTCACACAATCGATTAAAGAATAGGTAGAAGTATGTCATTGTGTGACAGCTTGAGTTGAGTATATTTTGAATCAACATATTCTTCTGATAAGCAATATCTGTAAGACAACGAAAAATAGTAGCACAAAAAACAATTGAAAGTACATTCTTTACAATTGTATATAAAGCTTTTACATAAAGAAACATACTCCATCACTTCTTCTACTTAGTTATTTTCATCATTTTTTAATAAATCACAAATAAAACTTTTCATTGTATCCTTGGTGTAAAAAAAGGAAACAGAACGTAGACACCGAATATTGATGAATACTATTAGAGAAAAGAACGACAAATTGACTTTTTCATTTTAAGCGTAAAAAAACAAAAGTGAAAAAGCTTATCGATTTATTGACACCTAAACTTCACACCCAGGTCGTGGACGTACAGCGGGAAACGGCCGGAAAGCACAGGAAAGCGCTGGAAAGTGGAAGCAGTATTCCAGTTGGAAGTTGCCGGATTTTTTTCCTGTAGATTCCGATCAACTTCCAGATGTAAAACACAGAAAACTGACCGGAATCCACAGGAAAAAAATCCGGTAACTTCCAACTGGAATAGTGCTTCCAGTTTCCAGTGCTTTCCCGCCAGATACGGTGATTTTTCCGCATCTTTCCGGCCGGTTCCTACAGTATCCGTCCTCCGGAATCATTGACCTGGACAGTTTCTCGTTCATATTAACTCATCTAGAAGTAAAAGCATCTCCAATCCATACTCGTTCGATCTACGACAATTTTGCTATCTAATATTCTATAAGTAGTGCAATAGCAACTAGGTTAAAAAACATAGTTCAACAAGTGATTGTAACGATAAATATGGACCTTGCTGGTTGATCTATTAAGACAAACTGGATAGAGGTGGAGTAGCTTAGCGCCACTCTCGGCAATGATGTTTATTCGCTTCTTCACATATCCAGAGTGTAACAACTTTATATATAACACGTATATATAGGAGAGAGATAGAAGAGAGACAGAAAAGAGATATATTATAACAATGGAAAGAGAACATAAGGAAGAGGAAGGAGAGACATAGAAGTGTGCCATCAATATCGGCACAGTGATACGTACATATTTTACGAAGAACACAACATATTTGAAGTAAAAATAATGAGAACATTATTGAACAATTGTTAAATATTGTCAAAATTCATTTATAAAGAAGTAAACAATAGACATTCAAGTGTCGTCTAATCAGTATTTGGTAATATTCTGAAGAAAAAATTATTCTACTTTTAAAGAAAAGTGATAATAATAATTATTATTATTTTTGTCGAACGAATAATATAGACATTCATATTTATTCTTAGTCAAGCCAACGTTTTGGCAAATAATTACTAATACTAACCTATAATATTTTTGCAAAATAGCAATTAAAAATGTTTTGAGAAATGCTTTTGATTTAATTTATAAGAACGAATGTAGAAAGGAAAGAAAATTGAAGTATAGAATTATGTGTAACAATAGTTGTAAAAAAATTTTCTTTTTTTTTCTTTTTCTATTAAAATCAATAGAAGCAATTATTCATGGTTAGATGAAGCAATCAGTGGCGGAGCCAAGATTTCCGTGAATTGTTTGAAAATTTGAAAGTCATTTTGGATTTTTTTTGGGAATTTTGACAATTTTTCTGGGTTTTTTTCGGATTTTGAAAGCTTTTTTTAGATTTTTGGAGAGTTTTGAAATTTTGTTGAAGATTTTTGGTTTCTTTGAAGGTTTTTCTGAAATTTTTGAAGAGTTTCTGGATTTTTTGGGAGATTTTGAAATTTTTTCTTGATTCTTGCGGGAGTTTTTGAGTTTCATAGCGGGCAACACTGGCTAAAACATGAAATTGCAAACATTACTTCATNCCCCCCCTCTGGTTCCGCCACTGGAAGCAATGCATATATGATCCTTATGTTTTCAAATTTCTCTAGTCCAATGAATTTTCCATCGTTGCATTGAAATTAGAAAATGCCATTTCAATGGAAAACGTAGTTCATGCTCGTCTTTGTATTTCTCTAAAATATGAACTAAACAAACAATTGCATTTGGCTACACAAAAAACATCTACTGCTTATAGTTTTTAGAAAAATAATTCAATAGAAATAAATGTTTTTCTCATGGGTAACAACATTTTTCTAGCGGCTTTTCAGCAGCCGGTTGTTCTAGAATAAATATATCATTTCTTTTCTTCGTGCAATCTTAAGAACCTTTTCCAATCTTGTTATAAAAAGGTGCATCATACATTTCTCAGTAAAAATATGTTAAAACATTTGATTTGAAATATGCATAAAAATATGCGGTATTGTCTTGTCTAGGGCTTTTCCAATGGTATAAAAACAAATTGGGAAGTTTTTCTGTTCAATTAAGATCCCTCTAGTTATTAATGCAGGATAATCTCTGTTTTAATCAAATTGCATGACTCAATTTCTATAGAAACTTCTAAAACTAAGTCCCAATATCTTCAAATTCGACTCATTTTGTTCAGATAAAATATATTGAGATTTAAAAGTTTGAGTGTGATACACCATTTATTTCTCTGTCAAAAAAAAAGAAAATAAACTTAATATCTATATAGAGTAAAACCTCTGTGAGTGAACACCTCTAATCTGAGCGCATGCTTTGGTCTCCCCAAGCAAATGTTGCTGTGAGTGAACCTCTATAAAGTGATCACCTCCTTACTCTGAACATCGAACACTTTTTCGGTTCCATTACTAGAGGTAACCTATACATAGTGAACATATAAGCTATCAAATGTGCACTTTCGCCAGAATTACTCAATAGACAGAACTGTTCGCTTTCTTATACATTATTGTGAGATGACGGCACGAAACACGTTGACTTTATCTGAAAAAATACAATTAATTCGTGAAAATAAAAACAACGTTTCATATCGTGCACTTGTCAAAAAATACAAAATCTCTATCGTAAGTGTATTAAAAATCAAAAAACGCAAGACTAAATATATAGAAGATTTTGAAAACAACGAGAATTCAAGAAAAAGCGAAATCTAAGAGATGAAATCAGTCAACAAGTCTATGAACGGTTTGTTGAACAACGTAGCAAGAATATCCCTATTTCTGGGCCACTTCTTCAAGAATAATTGACAGTAAATAAATTGTACAGTAGATGAGACAGCAAATTAATCAATGCATACTTACTTCAGTTATTATACATAACATACGTATTCATAAATCAAGAATCTGAAAAATGTGTTTTCTACATATATAAGGTCAGCCAATACAAACCCTCCCTATAATGAACATCTCCCTTAGTGAACACATTTTGGATGGTCTGCATGGTGTTCACTCAAGAGAGGTTTTACTGTATATATATATGATCAGCATAAGCAGAGTTCCCTTCAATGCTCCTGAACTGCTGATCGTAAAGCATGTGCTTTTTTTCATAATTTAAAGAATGGAAACAATTATTTCATTCTATTTATATTATCACGTAAGGATATTTTCCATGATAATTAAAATTTAGATTAATAAACACTAAAAACTAGCTAATAAAACTTTTTTTTATTGTGATATTAAAACGCCGGTGAATAATAAATAAAGCGAAAGAATAAATTTGTCAATAAAAACCATAGATTTAATTAAATTGCACAATTTTATTTGTTCGAATTTTCATACTTATATTCCAAATCCAATGTTTTTATCTACTGCTGTAGAAAATTTCACAGCACATCTTTGAATAGCTAATAAGATTAGATGACAAAAAGCTGTTAGGGCTCTATAAAGATAATTTTTGAGAAAGAATAATCAATTTGTTCTGAACTACTCAATATATCATAGAATTGCTTTTATCGATTGACAACGTTTTATATATAGGATGAAGATTTCATTAGATTCTATTTACTGTCGAAAATAATTTCTTCTACATGTCATTTATATTGCGTTTGATACTTTACGAAGAGTAGTATGTGACAGGAAATCATGTCACAATTTATCTTTGTATGAATCGATTCTACTATGTTAAATAATGTTAGAATCAAAAATAATCGAAAAACCTCTTTCTTTAATATATAAATTTTAAGCAGTTATTCTTATTAGCATTTATATGAAAAATTTAGAAATCGTAAAATGACTATTTTTTGAAAAGACAAGCGTCGAATGACTCTTTACAAGTATCATTTTATTTTTGGTGAGAAAGATTTGCCGAAAAAGAAAATCATGGGATAATAATTCAAATTAATCATCAAGAAATGAATTTCATCGATGCGTAAGTGTTAACAAATAGATAAAGTGCAAAGTATTGACTGTTCAATATAGCATTGATCAATTGTTCATTCTTGTTTCTATGAAAGTTTTTCGTCAAATTTCGAAATTTTCACTTTCTTCGCTTGTTTTTAAGTTTTTTTTTAATAAAACTATCGAAAAGATTATTTTGAACTTAGCAATTAGTCAATTGCTATAGTTCTTTTGCAGTTCGTTGTAATTTTAAGTTAAATTCGATTGAGTAAAATATCTGTTATTATGTTCATTCGTGTTAGTAGTTGTGTTTCTACATATTTTTGATATTCTTCTTGCAAATATATAATTTAGATAATTCAAACGTAACATTTATTTCTATGAGAAATTAAATTTTTAGTATCTATATTGATTATTATTAACATAATTATGTGAAGAGTCAGTCAATTTAATACTCGTTGTAAAATGAAAGACAATGAAATGTATATGCACATATTTTAAATCGAAAAGAAAAATAATTTTGTTTTTTTCATACTAACCGAAAATCTTATTTTTCCACAAGGAAAACTCATAAGATTCTCTCGGGAACAAACACACGGAAATTTAATTTTCAATATTGAATTCTTCACATTTTCAAATGAATTATTATGATTTTCAAGTTCACAAATCTATTAAATTGAATGTAATATAAAAATTGTACTAGAAAAAATCAAGTTATAAGCTGATAATGCAGATGTCGCATAAATCTCTATTAATATTTATATATAACTACAGTTACGATATTAATGTATTTTTACCGAAAAATTTTCATCGGTCTAATCTCATATAAATTTTTGAAATTAAAAAGAAAATAATTTTTGTAATCCTTAGTTACAAGGGGAGGTCATCATAACAATGGTAGATTAGTAGCGATCGATAGAGACAAAGAATAGACATCACCCGTCCGTCGAAACAAGAACTGACGATGGCTAGTTTAGGAACAGGTGTAATTATTTTAATTGTCATATGGGTTATTACTGTAGCATTATTAACATTATTTACATTTGCTCAGTCAAGTGTTAGGTATATTGGTTTACTGTCTCTAGTAATCGCTGTCATAATTACACTTGTGTTAACATTATTACCACGTGGTGAAGTTAACCGTGCAGCAGAATCGAATCAGGCTCCATCTAGTACTGCTGGTCTTGCTCGAATACTTATTTTAACATTTCTTTGTGTTACTTTTCTTGTCGGTCTTTTGCTTGTTTTTTGTCATGAAGTTCTGCCTCCTGTATATGCCCTACCAGTTCGAAAACGTTTTGTTAGATAAATTTTAATATTTGAAATAAAATTTTTTAGATTTAATTTGATTCGATTGAAGAAATGTCACGTGGGCAAGACGAAACCATAACGGTATTTTGAAATAAAATAACTGATAGATGAAGTTATTCAATGAGATATTTAGGTTTTTTTGGGAGATTTATCACGTGATGCAACAAAAGAAGAAGTGGAAAAAGCATTTAGTTACTATGGAAAATTACGTAATGTTTGGTAAAAAATCTTTGATTTTATAGTTTGTTTATTTTTAAAATATTATTTTTCTAAATTAGGCTCTCACGTAGTCCATGGGGTTATGGTAAATTAATTGATGACCAAGGAATTGAGTAGAATTTACTTTGTCTCTAGGTTTTATTGATTTCGAAGATCAACGTGATGCAGCGGATGCTGTTAAAGCACTTGACGGAAAGTAAGTTACATTAAAATCAGATTTTCAAATAGATTTTTTTTCCATTTGATTTAGAATGATATGTGGTTCACGTGTTCGTGTTGAATTTTCTCATGGTCGTGGTCGATCAAATCGTGGTGGTCGAACTCGACGTCATTCTGGTAGTCGATCACCTCGTTCAAAAAAACCGTATAGTCCACATGATGTTTGTTATGAATGTGGAGGTAAAGTTTTTGTTTTCTAAAAATCTTAAAATAATTCTTTTACTTAAGATCGCGGTCATTATGCTTATGATTGTGAAATTCGTCTAAGACGCCAACGTCGCATGAAGTATGTTGAAATTTATTTATTTCTCATTTGAATATTTAACTGGGTTAAGAAATTAATTCAATAAAAGAAACGGCAAAGTATATCTGTTTTTAGTTCGTACATACATCATTGATGAACAGAGATTGACACGAGCGAGCGATTTATGTGACTAAGTCGAAAAGAAAAATCTTTATATGGTATCGATAAATGTATATCGATGGAATTCTTCTTTGGATTGGTAGTCAGACTATCAGATATTTATATGAAACAACCGAATCAAAAACAAAAAAATTCTCGATTATATTCATATGATTTCTTTCATGCAAAAAATATCAATGCTAAAGGTGTGTATACGATGAAAAGTCGTAGACTGATAGCTAAATATTATTTTCTCATCTCGAATATAGTAGTATCATAGAATCAATCAATTATTAATTTCTTTTTTGATGATCACTCCTACATGCATAGTTAAAATAAAAAGAAGCATCGATAATATAATGCTGATGTTAGATTTTCGTATTACTTTGAGTTTATTTTCTGTATTAACTAGAGTACATTATCTTTCGTGGAAAGAGTTAGAAAATTTAAAAAAATCTAAACGTAGAAATGTTAAAAAGAAGAAAGATATAGATTTTTCATATGCTAACGAAATTCACTTGCGGAAAATGATCTTACTAAATATGAATTCGAATATAATTTTATCTTTTGAAAATCCTTTTGATATTAGATAATTTTCATCTTCTATAAATTTCATTAAATCGATTAAGTTTAAATTTTGAGAGTTATACGAAAATAAATCTATTCTGTAGGATTTAAAACTAGAGTGCCAATGAAATATACAAAGCATAGAACATTAGTAGAATACTGTATAAAAATATTTCTATTATTTAATGAGAATGTTGATGGGATTCTTTCTTACGAAATTGAGATGAATTAACGTTCATACATGATCAACATGTACAAAAAGTGGAATAATGAATGTATATACCAATATTCATTGAAATCTATCACATCTTGGTTTCAGTGATCGTAATTGAGTTCCATCTACTGAGAATAAAGCCATAAATTGATTCTTATCAATAATATAAATTGTTATATACACTATATGATTGCAGCATTTGATGGTCATCCACGATATAAAGTAGAGGATTGATGCAGTGCTTCTTGACATGAAAAAAAAAGGAACGAAGGAGGAAAGACTTGTATTGTTCGAAAGAAAAATGTATAGATTCTACTTTTTGTTTTTATTAATTAAAAAAAAATAACCAATAAAAATTATTTCTAGGTCTAGCTCACGTAGTAAAAGTCGAAGTCCTAGACAAACGAAAAATGGCCATTCATCAAGAAATGATCACAAGTTAATATCTTTTTGCATTTTATTTTTGGTTTTGTATCTAAACATATTCATTTTAGAAGTCGAAGTCGTTCTGAAAGTAGCCGATCATCGCGTCATCGAGAACGTTCATCCAGCCGTTCTCGTTCACGCTCCAGATCAAATAGTCCGGTTCGGTCAAAAGACCGGCGAGCACGAACAAAATCACGATCACGTGGCAGTCGATAAAGTATTATTATGAGAGAAAAACAATTCTAATAATCATTATTTTGGTTTTCTTTTCTGTAATGAAACATACATAACTTAGAAAAGATGACATATTTCTTCTCAGTATCTGTATAATCATATGAAATGCTTTCGAAAAGAGAATTTGTTTAATCCAATATGGGTTTTTTTCTTCGAAACTGTATTTGTGTTTTATAAACAATACATATATTACCCTTAAATATCTCATCAGTTTCTCCATGTTTTTCTTTTTGTTTTTTCTCTTGTTTTTGTTATTATGCTTGCTGTTTGATTTGATGAAAGAAATATAAACTGGTGTCATCGAGAAGAAAACAACTATTTTCTCATAAAAATCTACCGAAGAAATATCAATGGATAAACTGTGCGGACCGAAGCATGACTTCGAATTACTAGTTTCAAGGAGAGAAGCGAACTATTATATATAGTCTTTTCTTTTTTTTTTATTCATGTGTTTGATCAATGAAGAGAAGTAAAAGAAGGAGAGAAAAGATGTGAGAAGATTTTTCTTTTGGTACCATTGCGCAAGAGAAGCAAAGCGAGAGGGACATAGAGAAGAAAAAGAAGAAGAAGGAGGAGAAGGACTACTTTTTCACACGAGCTCATTCTAAAACAATCATACTTATTCTCGGTATGTATTTGAACATTTGCCAGCTAATCTATTAGTTATGTCGACGTTCATTTTTCTTCTTCTTCATCTACGTCTCATTTATTTTTTAATGGTCAATGGACAAACTCAAGTGCAAGGTAAACTAAAATAATTAAATTAGTTCTAACATCTAGTTAGCATTGTTCTCGATTATGATTAAAATATTTACTGGAAACGTTAATCTTCATATTGAATTGAAATATTTTATAATCAGTGTTTCTTCGAAAAATCAACTTGACTTTCTTGTTTGCGTTTTTTTGTAAATTATATATATATATGATAATACTAGGCTCATTTTGCTTTTCGTTCTATTGGTACTGACAGGTAGGTACCAGGAAAAAAATAAGTCGGTCACCATCGTATGTTTGAACAAGAAATGGTGGAATAAGAAAGAGAGGGCATTTATCAGTGCACACTTTATAATTGCAAACGAATGTGAGAATGAATTCTTATGCTATAAACATACACACACATACACACTTCGATAGACGATTGAGATGTTGGGTGTCAATCACATCATCTCATTCAAGTGTCTCATGGATAAGATGTCTGTTGATATAAAAGAAAAGAAAAAAGATTCTCTATTTCAATTAAATAAATTAAAAGAAAAAGCTTTTATTTCTTTTTAGTAATTGATGTTAGCCACGACCTAGATTGTGCAAGATGTGATAGTCGAACAGTATGCATACGGCTATCGAATGCAAGTGGCATCAGCTGTGTATGTCTTCCGGGATTTGCTCGGTCGTCTTCAACAGGTCGTTGTATTCTTCAAGGTAATATATTTATGTGTTACGTAATGAAATTTTTTTCTTTAATTTCTTTTTTGCCTCTTCCGCACACCTGACAAAAGAACATTAAGCATTATTCTTAATTAAGGTATATTTTAAGTGTCATTTACTTTTAGAAATTCCATATAATGGCCAATGCGATAGTCGTTATGAATGTTTCAATGGAGGTTAGTTGACTTTATGAATATTTGTACGGAGAACAAAGGACGATTGAATTTCCTGTCTTTTATTTTTTGTCCAAGGTTATTGTTCAAATTTGACAAGTAAATGCGAATGTTTATCAGGTTTTGGAGGTCTTATGTGTGAATTGGACATTAATGAATGTGTGAGTAATGATGCAATTTGTGGCGCACATTCCTGTACAAATCTACCAGGAGATTATAAATGTGATTGTGATTTTTTTCACTCAGGAAAACAATGTCAAAAAAGTAAATAGAAAATATACATTTTTAAATACAATTTTTAATCTATTTATTTATATACATATATGTTCTTTTTCAGTTAGTGCTATTGGTCTTTTCGTAGTGATTATTTCGACAATAGCAGTTCTTTTAATTATTTTATTCCTTATTTTATTTGCTATTCGTACATTTTTGACTTATCGTTTATCGAAACGAGTTTCAAGGTTTTCTTTATTGAATTCATCATTTCTGTTTTGATAAGTAAAAATTAAATATTCTAGAGAACGTGAACTTCAACTTCAACATCCATGTTTAGCTACATTAACGACTGGTGGCATGAGAGGAGATGACCTACTATCAAATGGAGTGTCATTTATTCGTCCTATTGGTCATCGAATCTATGTACCGATGGAAACAAGCTTTGTTAACGCAATGCGTTTTCAAGCCAATACAGATGATGAGGATAGAAAACAGTTTCAACAGCCACCAAAATATATTACAAATCTTGATGACTTAAAGATTAATATTAATTCGAATTGAATATCACCTGTGACAATATCTATTTGTTCATTTCTTATTTTCTATATAAGAAAATAAATAAACTATTTATTTTTGTCATTCATATTTTTCTCAAGAATTAACAGAAAAAATTCATAATAATATACAGTAATATTTTCAATTTGACAACATTTTTTTTTAATTATTCAACGAAATATCTTTCACCATGTGTACGCTGGTTGAATATTGAGATATTGATTTTTCGTTTTAAATTGGTACACACTCTGTCAAACACTGCATTTTCAGACATATAATAAATATAACAAAGATTGAAAACCATTCTCTCGCTCAACTTCAAAACAATTAATAGTCTAAATATCCATAGTATTTTTACAGATACTAGTTAGTATTTGAGACAAGAGGAAAAAACTTATTATGAGTCATTCAAATGACTAGAAATACCCCCAATGAACTTTTTCTTAATCAAACGATTCATGATGTTACAAGCTTTTAGTCATATCATTTTAGGATTTATTTCAGTGAGAATACTTTTCTTAAAGATTATTTTGTCGAGTTAGTGATTACCTATGACACCAAAATGATTTTAATCGTTGAATCATTTTCCCATGAACTAAACCAATTGAAAAGATAAATTATATGAGTATACACCTAGATGATTTTCTTGTAGTAAATAATTACTTCCAGATAGTTCATAAGAAAAGTTTCTGCGTATTAGTATCGAATATTTTATACCCTACAATTGTCTTTTTTTGCATAATTTTCATAACTATACTTGGCCATTCTGAGTCTATGATGAATAGATTCTTTTTGTCCTGCATCAGATGTTTGTTCAAGGATTATTTCAGCAGAGATGAGGAATTGCAACTCGAAGTTGAAGCTTTTTCTTCGTTTGAGTTAAAGTGAAGTTGAAACAGGACCTAGATCAGTTCTGTATTTTCATATATATTTATTGACTTTTCTTTAACTGAATCAGTTTAAATAGTATGTGACAATTAATCGACACTATTCTTTTGCGATGCATGAAGTCTGTTTCGTGTACAGTTTGTTTTAAAGTTTACCTTTGAAGATTTGTTTTTCTGTAGTCGGTATCAATGCTATACTCACGAAAAACTAGTGTTCACTATCAAGTTTGTTTGATGTCATAAATAATAAATATTGAGATGAGTTAAAACGAGAGTTTTTTCCTACTAGATGAAAGCTGAAATAGGAATAGTTTGCCTATGCCATTAAAAATTTCCACTTACGAATTCCATTATTATGATTACGAATAGTATTTCCATTACATAGATCTACAGTTGTTATAGCATAAGAAAGAAAACAAATACAAATATGATAATTTCCATTGCTAGAGAAAATTACTTTAGCTATGCAGTTTTATTAATTCGCTATAGCCTGTCTAGGACAAACGTAGATTTTCCTTTTGTATCATGAAAAATGTCTAATTGAACATGCAAGAGCGAAGAGAGGGAGATATTTGCGTTATTGAATCGATCGATGAAAAGATTGCATAATATGTTTTTGTTGCAAATCTATATTCATTAATATTTTTCTTCCCTATTGGCATGTGTGTAAAAATTGAGTACAGGTAGTTTGTTGAAGGCTTTCACAAATTTGACTAATGTTCATGGCTTAGTTCATCGTTGATGTTATCTCTTATTGTTATAAAATATAGAATTAGAATTAACGTGATCAATACTTTCAACACAAGATAGAATAGTTTGAATTAATAGTTTAAAAAACAAAATCATGAAAGTATTTTGAATGGTCAATGTCTATGATGAATCAAGTACATTCATTTCTTTGAAAGAATGTCTTCATCGTGTCAGCTAATTATCACAATTTAGGAATGTTTTGATGAAACGAAATGTTGTAAACTGCGTCAATTCAATTGCCGACGTAGACATCAAGTTTTCGATTTGGTAAAAATACTTTAGTCGAGACTACCATAGGAATATGATCATATAATGTGCTACTACATAACTTCCATTTCACAAACATATTACTTGTAATTAGTAACATTCTCTGAATAATAAAAACAATTTACATGAAAGATTCCGAAGTATATTATTCATGTTTTTAGCTCTTCCGAAAATCATATCTTAAACATTAACAAATAGTATCATCAACTTGAGTATCCAGCAGACCCATTGATTTCTTTTGAGTCAAATTTTAATTAGGTTAGATATCTGAGTCCTCTTTCTATAAAATATTATATTTATGTTTAATTAAATAGCTAATATACTACATAAGAAAGACTTTCCTTGACTAATAAATAATTGAGTACCTGTTTTCTTCTATAGAAATAATATTGTTATTAGTAAGCAACGTTAGAGATTCTGACAACGATAATAATGTTACATCTCACATTTTCCTTAGGAGATTCGAATTTCTTTAATCTATATAATAGTGAATAGCAAAAACAGTAGTCAAAAGATCATTATTACTAGCTTATTTGAAACACTTTGTGTGTTTTATGATAGATCAAAATAGTTTCCGTTTGCTAGTTAATTATAGTGTTTCTGTCAGTTGAATAATGATCCGATCCGAGCTTTAACTTCGCTGATAAAAAAAAGAATCAAAATGACGATCTGAGAACTTTAAGAGAGTTCCATTATATACATAATAATGACAGATGTCGGTATATATCGAGTATTCTCAAATTACCTATTCAATTTTTTAAGTATCTTTTTAATGATTAAAAATTCTCTAAATCTATACAAATAAGTAGTAAACGAATGACAGTTATTAAAAAATACACTTTATCACTGGTTTTATTCATGGAGCAATGATAAAATGCAGTTGCTAAAGCGCCATCAACTATTTACTCAAGCGTATCTTAGTCGTATGTATTTTTGCACAGAACTAAATTGTTTTAAATTAGACTTTTATTTATATTTTAAGAGTATATGTATATACGAGTGAATTTTATATTTCTATAATAAATATAACCATAGAAATTAATTCACATCCTTTTTCAATTTCGATTTAAATCGATGTTAAAGAAATAGGACATTTACTGACTATTTTTCGTAACGTATGTCTACAAAATATGCACTGTTCTTATTCATGCTTGTGTATGTTACAGGTGATTCTATATACACAAGCACATTGGCTGGTGTATATCATGTAGAAGTAATTTCTGCAGAAAAAGTCTATATTAATGATATATATATATATATAGATAGATAGATAGATTTAGATTTGTTTTGTTTTAATATATCGACTTGGAGTTGTAATGTAGAAAGTATTGAGTAGTTAAAATCTTTTAAATAAATTCCTATTTGTATTCATTGTATTCTATCATTCTCTTGTTTATTTTTTATCTATAAAGATAGAATCCAATTGCAAAAAAAAGAGACAGACAGAAATGATCGATAAAATATTTTAAATAAAATAAAGCAAGACCATAGTATAATTTCAAACTATCGTCCATGTCGTGAAATCCATAATGGTTTTCCATACAAACGATTCACACGTGCTCGACGCGATGATTGTAACGGACTGGAATGAAAATCTGGATATATGATACGTTTTAAAAAATAATCATTATCGTCATCATCTCTCTTAATAACAATAGATGGATTTTCATCATTTTCCAGACCTACTAATTCATTATAATAAGGTTCTTGAAGATAAACAGCATTGCTTGAATTAACTGTATGTAAAAGAAAAGTGAGAAGTGAAATGAATATGAACATTGAACCAAACATCATTGCAACACGAAACATCAATGTCATGATAGTTAAGATTGCGTAGAATTGGAGTAGTTTTGACTTCATATTTTCTCTGTTCAAGGAAATATTTTGGGAGAAGGGAGAAAGAAAAAAGAAATAGATGTAAGCCAATGACGAACCGATATGTCAATGAAACAATTCTTTTTCTGCAATTAATATTTTCTTTGTACATCAAAAAAAACAGAAACGTTTAAAGCAATAAGTCATCCCACTAATAATATAAAACAGAAATACTGCGAGACTGGTCCAGCTCTTTTGTTAAATTTATTATTAGAGAAATATTAAATAAATAATTATCCGATGCTTTTTTTGTGTCTCTTCTTCGACAAGTATGAGTGACGACAGAATACAATGTGCAAACAAAATATGAAATTATTTTATGAGCATTTAAAAGCTATGTATTTATCATAAGATCTCTTTGGAGAAGAAATTATTGAAACAAATTAAATAGAAAATTAAATGAAATTTTTTTATATGAAAATGAGACGGATATGAAAAGATGAATTTCATTTGAGATAAATTTAAAAATGGTGTTAATACGAAGAAAACCTTTTGTTATTTTTTCTTCTAGATTTCAATCATTCCAAATGAAATTTTCATTTGATTATTTTCTATTTATTTTATTTCTTTACATTCAACAAACTTATCTATTGGAGCAGAGAATATCCGATGAACATCTTGGCAGTACAGGAAAACATTTATTTCATTTTGTACACGTAATTATTATCAGTTTTTACATTATTTATATCTTATAACCTTTGTAGAAATAAAACGCTGAAAATATTTTGTGCTGTATTAGGTCACAGATATACATGCAACTCACTTCGGTCATGCTGATCGACTGGAACAATTTGAACAATTTTGCAATCAAATCATTAAATCTTTAATCAAGCCGCAAGTTACTGTGATATCAGGTAATTATTAATAACAAAATAGAGATTAATTATATTAATGAGATAAATAATAATAAGAATCAATCTTCGAAATTATATAGGTGATTTAACACACAATCGTGATCCTGGCTTTTCATCTAATCAATATGAACAAGAATGGATTATGTATAGAAATATTTTAAATCGAACTAATGTAACACAACATACAGCATGGCTTGATATGAGAGGAAATCATGGTAAGATTATTTTTTATTTTAAAAATTATTCAGAAATTTTCTTCTTCTGCCAATTAATAGATGTATTTATGGATCCAGATCCCCAGTCAAGTAAAAGTCTTTATCGGTATTGTATCAAGAGATCTTGGTTTTTGATAGTTTATTAAAACGATACTTTTCTTTTGCAGTATTTATTCACATCAAGGAGCTTCACACAAAGGTTCATATCAATATACATTAACAACAAATGATAATGATACGTATTCATTTGTTGGTATTGATTTGTGTCCACGACCAGGTGCTGGTCGTCCATTCAATTTTCTTGGTCATATCTCAGAAGTATTTTAAAAAAGAAATTATTACTTTTGTTTTTGATTATTGAGATTGCCTTCGTTCTGTTTTTTCTCTTTTTTAGGAAGAAATGATAAATATAAAAAATTTATCTGAACAAACTCAAAATTCAAATACAACAATATTTTTTGGTCATTATCCCTTATCATTTACCTATTCAAAAGGACTTATGGAATTAATGCATCATGGAATTGCTTATTTAAATGGACATCTTCATACGAGTATTAAATATCTATATGCTCAACATTCTGATGGATTACTTGAACTAGAATTAGCAGATTGGAAAGATCATCGACGGTAAAAAAAATAAGAATATATATTAAAATATACTAGCATCTATATTTCTGACAAATATTTGAATCGTATTTAAAAATAGTAGAGGATTAGAATAGCTAAATTATGAAACAGAATAAACTTGACAACGAAAGTCGTATCGTTCTAAGTGACGATTAAATAATTAATTTAACATTAGTAGATATTGGTTATGCACAGTATTAAGTTTGATTGTTGCTTTATTTTCACTATAGGGCTTGTTAAAAAGATAAATTTTAGTCTTTTTGATATCAATATCTATAGGATTTTTGTCTTATTATTCTAATGAAATGTAAATTTCTTTTTACATACAGATTTCGTATAATAACAATCGATTCAGGCCTATTATCATTTGAAGATTTTCATTTTGATCAACCAATTTATACTGTGATATCAAATCCAAAAGCAGCTAAATTTAAAACATCGAGAGAACCACTCTATCGTCTAAGTCAAAGTACACATATTCGGTAATTTGAAATTCTATTTTTGGATTTCTAAGATAAAATTTTTGTTGGTTAAAGAATCGTTATTTTTTCCCAATGGCCAATTATTGATGTAAAGGTGTCGATTGATTCAAAATTTTTGGGTAACGCCATACAATCAATTGATAATCAAAACTTGTATGTTTTACAATGGAATGCAAGTTATTATCATGATGGTTATCATCATAAACTATCAGTTGAAATCAAAGATAATCAAAACAATAAAATGAAAACTGAAAATGAATTCTCTCTTAGTACTACAACAGTAATAGCATGGACTCTATCAAAGTTTATTTTGTCTATTCATTGGCCAACTTTTGTAACTATGAAAAAAATAATTTGCTGGCAAAAAGAAAATTTTAATTGTTTTAGGGTATAATTTCTATAAGTGGAGCTTTATGTGTCTATATTATTGTTTTGATGTTTTTTCGATTCCGAGCAAAACGAATGATACGTAAGTAGCTGAGAATTATTGAATTCTAATCAGAAAAATATTTAATTATTTGTAGCTACACAATGTAAGTAAGACAAAACTAAGAAAGTAAAAACAACATCTATGTAAATTTCCAGAAATTAATCATTTGGCAAAAACAAACACTAGATATTTTAGGACAAATTTTAAGTTGAACAACTAGACAAGTTCTAGAATGTCAAGTGATTAAAATATAAATCTATTATAGAGAGAATCGGTTGAAAATAAATACAATGCTGAACCAAAACGATTATTTAGAGGTGATCAATATAATTAGTTATAGGATAGTGATAGAAATAATAAAGGAAAATATATCTCTTATTAAATTATGATATAGAGAATTTATTTAGTTTACAGAAGAGCCAAATCGCTGAGTAAATATTACCAGAACAAATTCTATAAGAATAGCATAACGAAAAATTTGTATACAATAAATGATCTATTCAACAGAAATATATAACTAGTAAAAACTGAGATTTCTAAAACTTAACGTACAGTTCTTTCGCTAGCAATAATACAGAATAATATTAAAACAGTCGTATGTAGAAATTTTTTCAACGATAAATTATTATCGTAATTAAATAGTTGATTCGGTACCATCGATAAATATTTGATTAACAAATGTTCTTTTAGCGTGTTGTGGTGTTTGTTTTACATTATGGAATAAAGTTCGCTTACGAATGATGCTCTTATGTTCTATCGATTTATTTTATTATTCATTAATTGGCTTAGCATTGTATCATTTTATTGGTATAGATATTTCTGTCAAAAATATAAATTTTTGATTTTTATTCTCATATAAGGTCCATGGTATATCGGTTATCTAACAGATGGTCATATTGGTGCTGTTTTCCTTTGGGGCACGATTATGCGAGGAATGTATCTTCCACCTGATATGCAAACATTTATGGGAACTATTCAAGTAATACATTTGACAAATAGAAAATGAAGATTCTATTTCCATTTATTTTCGCTTTCTAGTTACTTTTATTTTTATTTCCATTGACATCATGTTTATGTTCATCGTGTTATTATCGTTATGTTCAGCTTCAATCAAGTATACATCTTACTGAATCTAATTGTCATCGTGCATTTCGAATATACACGGTTTATCTTATATTTATCTATACAGTTGTATTTGTCCTATTTTGGTCATTTATGTCGACAGCATCATATAAATTGGCATGGATAATATCACCATTTGGCGTTGCATTAGCTGCATTTTCCTCGTTTCTTTTTCTAAAATCCAAACGGTTAAAAATAGAAGATTTTAAATTTCAATCAATAACAAATGAACATGATGATTCAATAAATGAAAATATTATTGAAGGCGACGATCAACAATCTATTGTGACAGGTAGAAGACTTGGAATAAAGAATCATTAATAAATAAATATTCAATTACAATAGAATCATTACCAAGACAAATGCTTTGACGAGTTGTATATTGATAATCATCGGTCTTCATAGTACTGCGCTTACTCAGCTTTTTTTTAAATTTAAACTCACTTGAAACTATTCATGCTTGAAAATAATCCAATACATATTTTTTTTCTTGATGTCATAAATGCGTTCCAATAACGAAAACACTTAATTTCATATAATCGTCAATAGGAACAATCAAGTATTAGAAAGTATAAAATGCATTATGCTGTTAACATCATTAATAGTGAACAATAGCAAAAAACAAATAGAGTTAAAAGACTACAATGAAATAATCCTCGTCAAGACATACTTTATTATATGAAATAACAGTCTTTTAAAATTTTTCAGTACTTAAAAATGCTTGCAATTATCTAATATTAATCAACTGTTGAAGAAAAATAGAAAATTCTATTCGAATTCATTGGAATCCTGTATATCTATTTACTAATTAAAATAAATTTTATTAATATGCTAAAGAGACATTTAAAGGTCTTGTCTGTAGTAACAGAGGCGTCACTACAAGAGAATTGAAAGGGCAAAACTTTTCTGAGAGCAGTATAGTTTCACTTGAGACAACAGGTTGAACTTCATCAAGAAGTGTTACTACAAAGTTGACGCTCATTATATATATATGGTTAGGAAACTCTAATTCGTGATATACATCCTAAAAATATTGTCCATATGCTGAATTTATTTGTGTTATAAATCGATGAACACAATTTGAACAAATAAAGAACATGCGTAAACAATGCGAATTGTCACACAATAGGCGAGTTCATGTTTTCAGTTTCTTTCATGATAAAAAAAAAAAGAAAAAAGAATCAACAATCATCAACTATTTGATATTGTTATTATTTATAGCCATAGACGGCGGAAAGATTTCGATCTAGGGTAGGCTCAACGTTTTTGACAAATCAAGTCTCACCATTAAAAAAAATAGAGTTGAAGTCACACTGAAATCGACTAAAAGCACTTTAAGTGTTAACTATAAGCATACGATTTTGATCGTCTTTCGATCAATTTTTAACTGATTTTTAATAAAATAGCCGAAAGAAAGATATTTTTATTGATTCATTCCATTATACAGATTATGATTGATTAAAACTTCATAGAAAAATTGATGACAATTTATGCAAATCGGTAAAGATCGAAAGAAGCCTTTTGCATTTATCACCAAGAAGAATCAATTAAAGTCGATGTTTTTATGTAGCTTACCTTGATTATATGCAGAAATAATCGTGATATACAATGAAACTTTAGTTTTTCAATTGTCAAAGATTAAAACTGGTTAAAAAATGATAGAAACTTTATAAGAATTATATGATTGTAATCGACTTTTAATCAGTTTTTAATCGATTTTAATTTGATATAAATTTTAACTCTTGCAGAAATGAAAGCTAATTGAGAAGTGACCTTTTCATTTGTATATAAAGGGAATCGTTTTAGGTTTTCCTACTCATTTTTACTTCTGTATAAGTGGAATAACTATCTAACGCAATATGGTTTTTAGATGCAACAGCAAGTAAAGAAGTAAATAAAAAATGCGAAAGACTGCTTGGAAAAAATCACTAAAAGAACAGTCAAAGAAGAAGAAACAACTATGGTATGCATTTAATGCAATATCTAAAAATATAGCAATCCATATCTAAATTATAACAATATTGCCTAACTTAATACAGTAGTATCTATTCTGGTGACAGGATACCTTTAAAAAATTGTTTAATCTAATTTCGTAATTTAACATCTTTTAAATCAATTAAATATCTGAATTAAAAAATGTTCTGTCTTTTAACTCAATATATTATCACTTTTAACAAATGACTATCAATGAATTTATCAACTTACCTAATTAATTTGAACGTAATCTATTATTGATGAGTACTTTAAAATTAATTGAAAGAGTATATATGAGCTGGGAATAACGATAAGTGATAAGAAAAAAGTTCGTTTAAAAAATGTCTTGGGTGGGGCATAGGTGTAAAGAGAAATAAGAACACCCACGTCCACACTACGCACCCTCAGGACTTTTTTCTATTGCTTTAATAATTAATTATATATAACTTTGTGTTGTTAAGTAGTGCTATTTAATAAATTAAATATAAATTAATTTAAAAATTAGATATGAATTGGTATATTTTTAGGCATGAGTTTATATTTACCCCAAAAACTATTCAGTACGAAAGAATGTTCTATATTTCATTGTTTGCAGAAAAATCAGAATAGATACTTAATAATGATGATGTCGAGTTTTTGTTGATTCTAACGACGTTCTATTTTACTATGAGTATCATCTAAATTCCTAATTTAAATTTTAACAGAAGACGGATTTTCACTAAAACTATTTCTGGTCTTGCTTTTGAAAGGAAGACATACTCTAACTTTGTTTGACTCGCATTTCTGCACTTCACAAGTAATGTTATTCGAGTGTCTAAGATTTAAAAGTAATTTCAAACAGAAGTTACAAAAACAATTCAGCTATCTTAAATTAAGAATTACGAATTAGATGTCAATTTTAATGCCAAAAACGTTCAACTAATATTTCATTGCAAACGAGTTACTCGTAGAGAAAATATGAAATGATCTTGTAGTAATACGTTTTTTGTTAGAAAAGCCCCAAAACTAAACAAGAATAAAACCATTTTTGCATATAACAATCTATCCAAACATTTATCTGTTCCAGTTTCAGTCTATCAAGATCTAAACCACTTCCAGCTTAGGGTAGGCTTATAAGCCTACCCACTTTCAACCTAGGGTAGGCTTGAGCCTCGCGAGCCTAATGGCTCCGCCGCCTATATTTATAGCGTACCAAAATTGTCTACTAATAAAAGTAAAAGGAAAACTAGAACAATATTAAATAAAAATAAATTCAAAGTCTTGAACAAGTCTCATGAATAACACATCGTTTAATTTATGGTTCACTACATCGGATCAAGTTAAAATATGATTATTAAAGGATTTTATGTCAAAATTTTGTTTTCTGTTTTGGATCATCACAAATGAAAAATAAGTAATTACAACTTTTATAAGTGAAATAATAAATAGCAGGTAATATTTGTTCGTATCTTTTAGAAAAAAGACTTCATTTTTTAGATGCATTTTTGTATTTATTTTATTACTTTTTTCTCTACATAAATATATACGAAAATATTACAATAAATAAAACAAATGAATGAGATTAAATCATGAAATGAATGTATAGTAGAACTGCGTATAAAATTGTTTTATAGATTTCGTTGCTGTAGCTGTTTGCATATACTTTTTACTTGTCCTTTTAAATCTTCTTCATGATTAATTTGATAAATTTTAATAATTTTTCCTGATGAATTAATTAGATTTATAATTGGTTGTAAATAAATAATAATTTCTTGATAAATATTATTTGATATAAAGATGATATCGTACTTTTTCCAATCGTTATTTATATGAAATGGTTTACCTTGTAGAAACGTTTTTGATGTCACGTTTGTTTTTAATAATTGTAGATCATCAATAAAATAAGCTGATATGATAGATTTTTGTTGTAACTGTTTGGATTGAAATAATGTTAAAAGATCATCACCAAGTATAAATGGATATTGATGATACCAACTTTCAATACGATGTTCTTCATCAGCAACTAATATAAAGCGTGGAAAATGTTTATTGGTTGAATATGAAGGTTTTATATCGGTAGCACTATGACATCTAGGAGGTTGAGACTTTAATTTTATTGTTGAAGATAATTGAATACTTGATGGAGCTCGACAATGGGTTGATGATAATGTAAATAGTTTCCGAGGAAACATATCTTGTTCAATTTTGAGCAGTGGTGGTGATGGTGTTAATGATGCTGGTGGATTATCATAATTTGAAAGATCAGATAAAACCAATTGAGCGCGTTTTCTATCAGAAATGAGTGCTGTCATGGAGTTTGGACGAGGACGAGAGACTGTTGATGTAGTTGGTTTTAGTTTTGGCTTCGATAGTGAATTATTGATTTCAGTAAGAGGAGTATGTATTGGTTTTGATGCAACAATAAAAGGTTGGAAAATTAATCGCGGATAAGTTTCTGTTGGACGTTTTGTTAAATTTCCTCGAGTCAAATCACGTGACGAAATTGTAGAAGCAAATGATAATGATGATGTACCACCTTTACCGATTAAAAATTGTTTAAATGACATTCAATGTTAAACATAAATAGAACAAATAAAAATTTCGGCTAGTTTTCACTATTGATTTCTTTTCAAACAGAAATTTGTATTAGAAACAATAAAAAGCATATGTAGATCTCGATTGAATTTTGGGGAAGTTATCTTACAATAGATCATTCAAGAATTATTCATCTTGAGAATCATAGAAAATGAAATTTATTGTTATTGTGAGTTCGTTGTTTTATCGGTAGAAAGTTACGAAGATATTCATCACGAATTATTTTAGACAAAAATAATGATTTCAGCAAATTACAAAAGCATTTCTACTATTGAAATTTCATCCAGATGAATGATCGAGAAACCAGAAGCTGTACGTTTCTACCTTTTTATCGATAAAACTTTTTTGTTAGTTTACATAGAGCTTTTAGTCTGAAGTACTTTTTTTGCTATCTATGAGTTTTGATCGAACATAAAATATGTTTTAAAAAGTGAATATTCTTCATTATACGAATCAAGAGGCAATCAAAACACTAGGATAAAGAATTATCGATTCAAATTAAAATCTTTAAGAAATCATTAAGAAAATGTTACCTGATTCTGATTTTAACGTGGCTGCTTTTTTATCTTCTTGTTGTTCAGCAATAATTTGTTTAAGTGTTGTAAATGAATGCCCATCACAATTAAAAATTGATGTACTTGGATCAACAGAAATCTGTTGCGTTGTAGCAAGACGTTTGAGTTCTGCTAAGGATCGTCTTAATTGAAACCATGTATCTGTATCGGCATATTTTTCAGCTAATGTTTGTGCTTGTTGCTTTTTTCGTTTTCTTTCATGTGCTATTTTGCGTTTTTCATGAGATTGTTTAGGGAAATTTTGCAATGATCGATCTTGCTTATTGTTTGATATTGGTACTGTTAAAGCAGTCGATTTCATATGTACAGGTACTGAACGATGAAAACGTGAACCCATTGATGGTGGTAATGAACGATCAAATGTTGCACTATGAGCAGGCGTCGAATTTGGTTGTTCCAGAAGTGGAGGTGAAGTACGACGTGAAGCTGACGGAATGCGCACATGATGTTGAATAGTTCGTTTTGTTGTTGATGATTCATGTTTTTGAGATTGATGTCGATTATCAATACCCAATTGAAACATATCATTTACAGCATCTTTCGATGTTAAACTTGAGTGTGGTCGAGATACTGTTGACCAACGTGGAAATTGATAATTAGATAATATAGATGAATCTTCAAAATTATTCATTTTTGTTTTGTTCAATCTAAAACAGTTTTATGATAATAAAACACAAATAATCACAAGAAGAAGCTAAACATGTAAGACACAGCAAAAAAGATTAGTTAGTTCATCTTAGAACATATAATTAATCGTCATCATCAATATTTGTTTTTGAGATACATTTCCATACAAAGATGCTAGACGAAACAAAATAAGAAACGTTATTTACGGAAAACAAAAGCAAAAATAATCTTACCAACAATCGTCTCCACCTAAGCTAACTAAATATTTCTCATTGGCAAGAAATCGAACATTTGTTACATTGTCCGAATGACCATAATATGATTTATGTTCCGTCTAAAAATTATTATCGATCAAACTAACAAATGAGAATAGAACGAAATTTATTTCCTTACTCCAGGCTCTGGACAAGGAAATTTAAATAAATTAACAGCTCCATGATCATCACCCGTAACGATTGTTGATGACAATGCATGGGCACAATTAATATGATCTTTTTTAACGTCTTTTGGCCAAATACCACTTACATCATCGCCAATGGTACTAAAAATAGTAGCAATCGTTCGTTTTCATTACAAATGAAAAAGTTCAACGATTATATATTGCAATATAAAACCTTCCTGTAAATTCATAAATCCAAAGATATAAACATTTCTTTCAATTGTGATCTTTCTAGAAGCTAGTTTCAATCGAAATCCATCAAAGACTTTTCATTGCTTAGGATACAGTCTAACAATAATTATTTTCTATATAGATATTTTTTGTATTCCAATCGATAATATTTTTAGGTTTCCTTTCTAACACAATTTAACTAATGAATTTAACTAGAAGAAGTTTCAGATAATTCGAATTCTCGTCAGCATTCAGAATTTTGAATCTAGCTAAGATTTCAGCCGAATACTATCCTTTCAGTTACTAGAAATACTTCATAGTAGATCTTGAATGTATATATTCATATCAAGAGACCAATGTTTCATGAAAATATTTTTCTTTTCAAAATATAACTCAGATCAATCTTTTCTCACCTTACTCTTAATATGTTGAGAACGAATACTGATTCTAACACCACTTTATGAGTGTTTCAAGTAAATATGGTGATTCTTTATTTTAAAAGTTTCATTTGGCAATATATTTAACGAAGTTCTCAAAAACTTTTATGCTCACGGGAAAGAAGAATGAAACAAAGCTCATAATTCAGTCAGGAAGCAATATGACAAAAAATTAAAACATATATTTTTACTATTGATTCTGATTAATCGATAGGTGATAATCTCAAGTAAGAAGTAATTGCACGACTTAGAATGGTTCCTTATCAGGATACCAGATTTTTACCATATCATACACTTCCAACCCGATCTCTGATTTGATAGACACAGGAAACTAAATATGTGCATATCTTTTCTTTATATTTAAAGTTGCTCTGCGTTAAAGAATAAAATGAAAGAAGATTTAAGCAGCTAAATATAATTTTTAATTCTTCATTACCTTGTCCAAGAGTCCCAAACAATTTTTTCAATTTCTTCATGATTTTTAACTTCTTCACCAATGGGTGCATGAAAAACAAGTGCATGATAACCAGCTGTACTTGCCTTTGAAATAAAATAAAAATTAATAAAATTTAACTTCAAAATCAATATATATATATATATATATTTACTCTAATATATTCTGAATTCGTAGCCCAATCAATTTGTAAAACAGCATCGTCAATATGCGTCACATAGCCAACACGTGCTAATTTATTTTGCTGAATGTTAAAGAAATCAATCGAACAATTATTTGAAGCAGCAACTAATAACTTTTTATTTGGACTAAATCTGTAAATAAATAATTATTTAACAATAATATAATCTAATGTATATTTAAATACAATACCTAACACAAACAATTGCAGCATTTCGTTCTCTTGTCTTGTCTATTTCTGTCAGTTCTTTTTTCTCCTTAGAAAATCCCACTAAACTAATTTGTCCATCTTGAAATCCAACAGCCAGCAGATTACCATCGGCATGGAATGATATACTTCGAATCGCTTTACCCATATCACGTCTTACTACAAGTCCCTAAACAAAGATAAAAGTTCAAAGTTAAACCAAAAGAAAAAGCAATGAAAGTATCTGTTTTATATGAAGAAGTTGTCGTAGTTATATGCTTGTGTACTGTCCCGATAACAAAACAGTTCAGTATTAGTCGACTACTCACTCTTTGTTTCGCTGATATAAAATGAAAAACAATCAAATATGTATACACATCTATTAGTATCTATTAACCACGAAACTTTTTATTCGTTGTAAATTTATCCAGTGGCATTCTATTTTAATTTATTACCTTCTCATATGAATAACAATAATCTTACAGATATATGTATTTTTAAAAACAAAAGAATTACTTTATTGCTCATATCCCAAACAGCAATATTTCGATCATAACTTCCTGTAGCAAACATTGGTTCAATTGGATGTGGTGATAAAGCCCATAATTCTCCTTCACCATGTCCACATACTAATAAGACTGATCGAGAGCCGGATTGTTTATCATCAACTTCAATAATATCGGCTGTTTTTAAGCCAATTAGCATTTTCCCCTAAAATCGTTATTTATCATTTGTTGATTGTTAGTCTATAGTCAAATAGTTTACTTGAGAATTTCGACAAACAGATCTAGCACAAATTGTATCAGTTTGAGGTAGATCAAGTTTTATTGATCGTCCATTCTGCATATTGTAATCCCAAACTTTAACTGGATTGAGTGTTTGTGTTGAACCGAGAGAGCGTCTAAACAAAGAATTTCTTAAAAATACAACCAAAACTAATCATAAGCCTATACTTTTCTTTTGCACCTGTTACGATACAATTTTCTGAACTAAACATTGAAAATATTGGTCCCGTATGAGCAACTATTGTTCGTTCTAATGTAGTAATACGCCAAATAAAAATTAAACCTGTCATACTACCCGTATAAGTACGATCATCCTTTGAAAAATTCGAATCAAACACATTATTGAATTTTTATTAGCAATAAAAGAAGTTGCTTCTTACGGTTCCGAAAGCAATAGAAAGCATTGTTTGCATCTTAGTTGATCGTTTTCCATCTGTTGCTTTGGTAATAACAGCTTTCTTTTCAACTAATGTGTTCCCAGCTACAGACCAAAATTTCAAATGCTTAACACCCGCTGTTACAAAGTGTACCTCAGAATTTGGACGAAATAATGCACGAAATATTCGATCTTCAGATCCAATCGCGCATGCAATATTTATACCTAAACATTGGAACAGAAGTTTATTTGCAAAACAAAAAGACAATTTTTGTCCAAATTAAAAAGAATACCTTCTTCCCATCGCCATACAGCAATTGTATATGGAGCATCGACACCAACTGATAATAATAATTTTCCACTTGTTGAAAAACTTAATGAACAAACGCCTAAATTATAAATATTATTAATGTATACAGCACATATGAAGTAAATCTAACAAAAACTATGCACTGTATACTAATAAGAAAATCTCAGAGACTTTTTTATTGATATTAAGAATTCGATATTGAGCATGAAGAAGTCTTTCAAAGTCTTGTAATGATTTCTGTTCAAGATTAACATGTACATTTGTCAATCAATGTTCACATTAAAGTTTTTCCCATTTCGAACATGGAAATTCAAATTAGTTGAATATTCAGTTATTTTTTTCAAGTCATTTTAAATGAATCTCATGTTTTACTGTTTAATTGATGAATTGTGTTACAAAACATTTCTATTCCTCATCTGATCAATATCGTTATACATTTGAAACACCGTCCTATCCCAGTTTCTACAATCGAAATTTCTACTTAGGCGTCTGTTCAACTAGAAAACACTAAATATTTCGGTGAAAATAAAATTTTCGAAATATTGGACTAGAATAAGGGTTCTTTTTTCTTCAGAAATCTAGTTTTACAATATTTGTACAACTCATGAAGGATGAAGTATAAACAAAATTTTGCGAGATCTGAAAATAATCTTTAAAATGGTTGAAGTACACGATGAAGCGCACAGGTTTGTAGTAAAATAGTAATATTTCACGTACACTAATCGAAGTTGCAAGCATTTTTCGATACAAAAAATATTGCCACCAAGAATTTTCTGTGAAACATCTAGCAAGAATGAGAGTGCTGGTGAGCAACTCAATAAATGTTACATTGATGCTTGAGATTTGCAGGTATTCAAAATGAACTTGCTCATTTCCAAAAGGTATTCTCAACTTTTATCACTCATCATCGAAGATAAATAAGTACAGTATACATACGGTACAATGAATTGCTTTTTCAAACTATATAACTAAATGATACTCATTTGATTCTTCATAAAGACGCCTCTGATCCTGATGTGACTGAAAACATATAAAACTCTAATGAAGTCATGGTATTGAAGTGACATTATACAAGATCGATAACTTTATGCTAGAAACCAGGATAGTATCACAAAAAATACTTTGAGATAATTTCCGGCTAGACATATACATATTATATTCGTTGCAAAATTCTGGCAATGAAATTTTCATGTTGGGAAGGTTTTTGATTTTTGTCTCTAATCAATAGCGTATCCGAGCCTGAAACTATACAGAATTTAGATTCAGCCAAGATACAAACTTTTCATTCTATCTCAATGTTTTAGAAAATCAACCAATTCTCTTAATCAGTCAAAAACTATTGAATTATTTTGTATTTCAGTTAAATTTACCTCTTTTATGTTTCCCAGATAATACTGAAATTGTTTCTCTTGTTTGAGCATTCCATACATGAATTGTTGGATTTTCTCCAATCTGTCCTGATGCAACTATATTTCCATGTTTTCCTCCATTATGTACAGCCATCGATATAATATCATCAGTATGTTTTTTATAAAAGTTTTGTGTACCTCGACTAACATGATGTACAACGCAAGTACCTGCAGCTGGATATACAATTGATTCATTGTCGGCTAAGTAAAATAAATTATCACGGCAATCAAAACTACGATAACCATGAATATGATCCAATTCAAGATCCTTTAAAATGAAAGATAATTAATTTCGTATTTAGTTCAGTTTTTTTAATATTCATATACATACAATAATACGTCCTCGTGGTTTCTGATCATGATTTAATGCTTCATTAGTCGTTGAATTTCCATGTGCTGCATTCAAAAGACCTAAGCCAATGCTTGATCTAGTTTAAAACATACAAGAGCTTATATATTATTCAATTGATCCGCACAAAAAATAGCTGACTTTAATGCTGCTTTAACAAGCGCTACGTCTTCATTGATTTTTCTTTGTGATGGTTTTACTTTTACACGACTAAATTAGAAAATACTTTGAAATGAAAGTGAAACGAATAGCTTGACTGATTTACATAGGTTTATTAGTTGCTGTTGAAGATCGAATGGCTGCTTGCTTATCAGTTTTTGGTCGAACTGGATCAATAAGAATTCGAGCATTATAATCCATACTTCTATCATGTTGAACATCCGAATCATAACCTTCTTCTTCCGAATCTGTATTATCTGAATCATCACTTTCACCTTTTTCTTGTCGCACAGGTGCAACTGCTGTTGGTGCTGCTGCTGTTGTTGTTGTTTTTGAATTCGTAGGAGTAGTACGAACATTAGCAACAGTTATTTTGCCTTGAGAAGCGGGAACAGTCTCGGCATCAGTATTACGTTCATGTTTCCATACTAATGTAGCAACGTCACGACCACCAATTGATATTAAATATGAATTATCATATGTCCATCGAACACGAGTTACATGAGCACTATGGCCTGTATATCGTTTAAATTTAGCAAATTTACCCTTAAGGAAAAAATGTTTTTCTTTTAATAGAAGGATTCAAACGATAATCATTTTATTGTTTACTTTAACTGGAAACTCAAATAATTTAACAAGACCAAAATCATCGCCTGTCGCTAAAATTTGCTTATCTTTTGTTAAATCAGTTGAATTAACATCAGTTACATCAGTTGCTGGCGGCCAAATACCTTCGCAAACAAGTCCTAAAACACCTGTCCATGTAAACCAATCCATTTTTTCTATATCAGTCGTTTTAATTGATGTAATCCTGGTACCACGTGGTGCCTCATAAAACAATTGCTCTTTAGCACCTGAATTTGTCATGATTAATTTTCCTAAAGAAATAATCAAATCGATTTATATATAAAAGCTAATATGAACGAACCTTTAGCATCCCAGTCAACATGTGTAATGTACGAAGAATTTGCTTTACAAATACCAACGCCTAGACAAAAGAGAAAAACAACAACAAGCTGATTATTATTCTGATGGAAAATATAATTTTAAGAATGTACGTTTTTGTGTTTCAACATTATAAATATCCACAAAATTATCATGTGTTCCTACGGCTAAATGTCGATCATCTAAAGCAAAAACACAGATTTCCATTAGAATTAACTCTAGAAATGTTACCTGGTGAAAATTTTATATCTGATACTTCTTGATTTCTATGCTCAACAGTTACAACAACAGTTAGATCTGCTTCATTTAAAATCATAAAATGACCTAAATAAATTTCTTAGAAAAAATGATTACATTTTTAAAACTTTCAGTCAAACCAGTTTTTGTTCCAACTGCAATGTATTTTCCATTCTGTGAATATTCGCATGTACGTAATAAGTCTTGAAATGATTTAAATCGAATCATTCGTCGATCTTCTAATGACCATACGCGTACAGTTTTATCATCACTTACAGTACATAGCTCATATTTTTTTGGATTAGTACTTAAACCCCACATTTCACCTTCAGCATGGCCTAAATTTTATTTTTAAAAAGATACAAAAGCAAAATACATTTATTTGAAATTAAATATTCAAACCTTGAATGACAACACGTATTCGACCATCTTTTTCAATTTCACATATTTCACCACCTCGTGTTCCAACAATAATACGACGTGTTAAAGAAACAGCACGAACTGCAGTTGGATCTTCAGTAAGAGTACCTAAATGATAATAGTGCATGAAAAATGTGAGAAAAATCTTGATTGAAAATACCTCGAGAATCTGGAGCTAGATTTTTATTCGTTAATTCATATGTTTTAACGCGTTTTTTAAATTCTGGATCCCAAAGTATAATTTTACTATCTTTTCCGCCAGTTACATAACCCTGATATATCAATAAATAAAATTTTATACATTGAAAATTTCTTAAATCTCACTTTATCTTGTACGGCTGTAATAGCAAATAAAGGTCCTTCATGTGCATCATCAATTTTCTTTGTTAGCGCAGTTCCAGTCCATATATAAATAGAACCGTCTCCACCACCAGTTATACAGCTATCAACTGTTTTACCAAAAACAACACACATTTGATTTTGTTTTCCTTGTTTCCCAGCAGCTTTGCCAAAAACTCCTTGTTTCGCTGTCATACCACCACCAGCTTTTGTCCAAAATTTAATATGTTTAACACCAACAGTGACGAATCGATCATCATCATGAGGATTCCATCGTAAACAAAAGATTTTATCATTATGACCTCTTGAAAATAAGAGAAAATTTGTCTAGATATTTCAATAAGAATTTCAAAAACCTTTGTGAAGCTAATTTTTCTCCTTTTTTCCAATCCCAAATAACAATTGTTCGATAATCATCTAAACCAACTGACGCTAACCATTTCCCATTTCCTATGATAAGAATAAAGAAAATAGATAGTGAACAAAAATAAGATTCAAAGTTTTCATTGATTTTTACTAGAAAACCCCAGAGCAGAGATGCCTCGATAATGTTGACCTTTAAGTATCGAGCTTGTTTGCATTTTTGTTGGATCCCAAACATGAACAGGTGGATCACGACCAATCTTAATTGAACAGAAAAGTTTGTAGTAGAATTCATTTCACATCCACATAGAATAAAACAATTTAATTAATACAACATATTGAGATACTCGTTCTTGAAGTTTTGAATGTCTTCTTGAATGAAGATGTTTTGTAATGTTTAATAGTGAGATATATCCAAAGATTTTGTTTCTTATTGAGATTTATGAAAACTATCAATTTTTATCATATCTATTGTTGAAAGAGAAATTTCTTTCAGGTCAGTCTTTATAAAATTTTCTCGAAAAAAATGAGATCTTTCAAGAGTAGAGTTATTAAAATATTAGATAACACCAAAAGTTGTTAGAAAGAATTGAACTATGTATTAGCCTTTTTGTTTCTAGGATACTGAGTAATATTTGTAAATGGTAGTCAAAGAAATTGTAAAATAATATTTAGAAGTATTTTTATTCAATGTACGAAATGGTAGTGAAGATTTTTTGTCGAATTTTCATAATAGATAATAATGATTTTCCAATGAACATAGAATTTGTTTTATGTGTTGCCGTCACTTTTACATTAATATCAAACATTCTCTTCAATGTCTCTTCACAGTTCACTAGTTCAATACGAGATAAAGTTATTTTAGTTTCGATTAAAATTTGATCTAAAAATCTTCTCTCAGTGGTCTCAATCGTAATCAGGTGAAATTGTGTATATTCACAATAATCGCTTAGAAAAACAACTATACTCGATTTTATCTACACTCAATTTAAAAATTCTTACATGTTCATATTTTGACTAATTCAGTAGACGACTACTCTGTCGTATGTTTATCTCTCCTTAATTTTGCTTCGCTTCATGATTTACTAAACACTTCAAAATATTCAAGTTGAAATTTAAGTTTCGATTCGATTCGATCGAAATTTATTCTCGAACTTTCAGTCTCTGTGCCAGTAAGCGATAATCAAATTTATGCTTTTAAATTAGAATTTCTCACTATTTCGATACAATACATGACTGCTGAATTGAGCTTACCTGGCCCGTGGCAACCAATGACATATCAGGTGAAACAGCTAAGCATAAAATATCATCTGTATGACAATTATAAAATCGTTGTACATTTTGTTCTGCATTTAAAACAATGCCTAATGCAGCGACATGATAAACGATTTCGCCAGTTTTTAAAGAAAAAACATTATCACGACAATCATAACCACGATATCTATGTTAGTAAATTCTTATTTTATCAAAAATAAAAAGATAAATTTTCTTACCCAAATACAAAATCAAGTGTAAGACCTTGATCAGGTTGTTTTTTTCTTTTTTCACCTGGTGGTAATTTTTCTTTCATAGTTTTTTTTAATTTCTATCAATCGAATTCATTTTTATAAATGAAACAAAAAAAGAAAAAAATGTTGAGTTTTACTTGATAATCTTCTCTGTATAGAGTCCTATCATATGAAATTTGTTTTTCTTTTTCAATATCTGAATCAATCTCTGCGCCACTTAAATCCGAATCTGAATCTTCAGAGTCTGAATCTAGATAAGTTCCAGCTTGCTGAGCTGTTTCTAATAGTTGTGCATCTTCAATTGTTCCATCCATTGCATCTGCATTCATCATGTCGTTCGTGCCTAATCGAAAACTTGATGCTGCTGTACTTAATCGGCGTGCATCATCAAGTGCAATAGAATCAGTTTCTGATAGAAAATTCCATTGAAGTATTGTGCGATCATCAGTACCAATGGTTATTAAACGACTTTTATCATGAAGAAAACAGACATTACCTAAGCATGAATAAATCAAATGAAAATTAATTTTTCTTTTCTTTTCTTAACATACCAATTCTACTACAATGTCCAACATATTTTTTAAAATGAGCACCCCGCTTTTCACTTGGAAAGCGAAATAATTTAATAAGGCCTTGTTCATCACCAGCAGCAATAACACCTGAATATTCATTTCCATCAATAGTAACAATATCAGTTTTTTCAGCAAACTTATTCCATATACCAAGAACTTCTTTATGTGTAAGACTTGTAAAAGTTGACCAATTATGAATGTTTTCTTTTTCCTTATCAGATAAATGTTCAAAAGCTACAAATAAAATGAAAAAAAAATATGCTATTGAAATTTTGATTAAAAAAACAATTAGTACTCACAAGGCATTTTAGCAACGAAAACTTGTTTATTTTCACCAGTATAAAGTAAATATTTTTCATCATCTGTCCAATCCATATTTATAACACTTGAACTATTGCCTAGAAAAAAATAACATAAAACAAATAGAATTATTACTATTATATTTACTTGTGGTTTTAAAATGTAAATTTTTGTATTGATCTTTTACATCATAAATAGCTAAAGCTCCATCATTACACCCAACTGCAAGATATTTATCACGTGGAGAAAAAGCTAATGATTGAATACGATATGCATGATCATGCATTGTATGTATCGGTTGAACACGTTCTTCTTCGTGTGGTTTTAATCTAAAGTAAATAATAGTGTCATTTTGCTAGCAATGATGAAACTAATTCAACTTTATAGTTCCACTTTAACTTATATTGTATTCTTAATAAAGTCATGGTAGATAAGAAGAATAAAAAAAAACTAATTCATCTTCATAAAACTCTGAAAGTAATCTATCATTATTTTACTGAATCTTATTTTTTCCCCAGTTTAACTATTTACTTAGAAAGAAAATCATAGAATTTTGGTTTGAAAGATTCTTGTGACTACGATCGCTTCTAGAATTTTCTAGTATTATTTTGACTTTCATTTGTGTATACTATAAGTTGAAAAAGTGAATTATAGTCGAATTCACTGTCTCGTAAGCAACAAATTTAAATCAACGAACATGGTTGGATATATTTCAACATAACCATTTTCATATCCAACAGCAATTTGATTTCCATCTGATGTAAAAGCGATCGACCGTATAGCAGGTGGTGGTGATAGTGGAACATAAGGTGTCGTATAAAATGTTATTGATATCATTCTTTCAGCATTCCAAAACCTATATAAAAAAAACAATTTTTTCTTCTGATATTTCTGTTTATAAATACCTTTGAAAATTACAAACCTAAGTGTACAATCTTCTCCACCAGTAACAAAAATGTTTTCTTTTGGATGACAAGCTAATGCAAATAAACTACTATCATGATGGCCTTGGACGAGAAGTTGAAGAGCATTATTTCCATTTAATTGAAATCCATAAATTTCACAATCACGAGTACCAGCAACACAATAACCATTGTGTGAAGCTATACTACATACGCTAATTTCTAATAATAAAATTCTTGTTCTTCTTTAATTTTTCAATTGATTCTTTCGTTATTTACCTTCACTATCGTTAATTAAACTTGGAACATGTGTTGATTGTCCAGTAGGAGCAAAATCTCTTGTCCATTCTTTTACACAACCATCTTTACCACTTGTTAAAAATCCATTTGAATTAATATCAATTGAATAAATTGTGGACTAATGAAAATTCTAAAATAATTTATTTCATATTACAAATTATCAACTTACATTATGTGCTCCAGAAATGATTCGATCGATTTTATTTTTTTTCCATACAATCAAATCACCATTAATTGCTCCAGTAAAACACAAACTTTCATCATCGTTCGTTGTTTTAGATTCATTAGTAGTTGAACGTCCCAAAGCTCCAATACATAAAAGAGTTAGTGCTTCTGATTTACCGAAAAGGCCTTCTTTAAACTCTAATGTATTTCCAAGTAATGTCCAAAAACGAATATGTTTAACACCACATGTAATGACCCGGTCACCAAAATAGCAAATATCAAAAACACGTTCTGAATGACCTGCAACCGTTGCTAGAATTTTTCCACGTAACCAACTCCAAACTTTAATTGTATTATTAGAATCAATACCAACACTAGCTAATTTCTAATTAATAAATGAACAAAATTTCTCAGTTAAAAGAACTGAAAAGATAAAAAGTTTTCAATTTTACTTCTCCGTCTGCACTAAAATTTATTGCACCGACACCATCTGCATGTCCTTGTAGGAGACTTTCTAATTTCATTGTTCCTTGTGTATTCCAAACACAAATCTGTGCATTTTTTCCGATCTGACCCGTTGCGACAATCTTTCTATCTGGATGTAGACATGAACTAATAATATCATTATCATGACCAAGAAAAAATCGTTGTCGACAATGATCTTTTTCTTCAATACTTTGCACAATAGCAACAGCAGCAGAAAAATAAACAAGTTCGCCGTTTTCAGTTAAATGTATATTGCTTCGACAATTGGCTGCTCGATAACCATAAACCCATTCAAGACGAAGACTTGCTTTGGGCGCTGTACGATCACCTGGAATTTGTGACTCTTGAGGCATTGATAGAGTTGTCGTCATTCTTCAATATAAAAGCAGTTTATCCACCAGAAAATTGACAGACTGGTATAGTACTACTTGCCACCATTGACCGTTTCATTGCTAAGAGACGAATGCTGTAAGAGATTATGGCATAAACATGAGGGCGACACTTTTCTATGCTTCATCAACAGGCGACATCAATGACGATTAACACGTCTTGACTTGTAAGATTTTTGTATTGTAATTTTCTTATAAGTGGGGTGTTCGTTGTTTTTCTTTGTCGCAAATTATGATTGAATCATTCAAAACTAATGAAAGATTAATATTGATGTTGCTATTTGTCTTTATATTTAAAATTATTCACTGATCAACTGTTTTCACTGATTTTTCTGTCATTTAATGAAGCCCCCAACTTTCTGCTAAAGGTTTACTTCACTGATTTTCAATCCATATTACTGCTAAAGCCAATAGTCAGTAAATTCTAATGAATCCTTATGTAAATTAAACTTTTTCAAATGCCCATTAAAAAGAAAAATGCGCATAACTATATTGGGAATCATTTTTGATAGAAACACGATAGTGTGCTCCAATTTTTACTATTGCAAATACAAGATGAAGTCGCATTCGCATTGAATCATATATCTATATTTTTTCGTAAGATTTTTCTAAAAGCGCAGAGGTACCGGAAAAGAGGTTTCGCATAGAATAAGAAAAAAGTAAAGAAGTGTTTTTTTCTCACCGTAGTTACTTAAAAAATCGGGTGAGAGTTTTGGCTGGAACGCCTATAACTTCTAAACAATTAAATGTAAAACACTGAGACTTGCGTAGCTTTGTAAATCTTCAATTGGTAGTTTGAATATGCACATCTGATAATTAATATATAAGATTCGATGTATCTTTAATTAATTCCTCTTGTAAAAAGTAAAAACTGTAGGACTATCTTGTTTCTAACAAAAGTTATTGAAAAACTCATCATTCGCCTTTTTTAAATTGGACATCAGTACTAATATTCAAAATATTAATTCATAAATGTGGCAATTTCATTCATATGATCTTGGAAGAGACTACTTTTCCGCTTGATTTTTTATCTTCATATTCTTTCGTATGTATAATATTATGAAAAAAATTATTTCCCCCAAAATAAAATATTCTTCAAAAAAAATATTGATTTCTTTTTGTTTTCAAATAATTTTGTCTATGAAATTCGAAAGTGTAAAGATGTATAAAAAGAAAATTTAAAAGATCTCAAATATTGTTGATCGATACTTGATCAAAACTACTGCCTTATCATTATATTCAAGCATATTGATTAGGGGTGGCACTTTATCTTTACTTTACTGAGCAAAGTACATTTAGTCAATTTAATGTTACTGGGTAAATTAAAGTAAACTAAACTAAAGTAAAATAGTACAGTTGAAGTTTTCGCCAGTTTCTTACCTCAGCATCATGCATCTATAATGCTACAAACTATCGAAATATTTTCAGTATTATGTCATTACACAGAAATGAAACCAACACAAAACTAAACTTAAAAAATGTCGAGTCTTTAATTAATAAACAAAAGATATTGTTTTGTTAACTTGATTTCACTGTATTTTTCACATTTGAACCAGATTATCATACGTTCAATTAGTTTACTTTAATTTTTCTGTAAATTACACTCACTATACTTTACTTTACGTTTTCAAAGTAAGGTAAATATAAAGTGCCACACCTAATATTGACTGTAAGAATATTTTTTTTCAAATTATCTGCAAAAACTTTTTATTTGATTAATATTTGGAATCATTGAAGATGAGTTACTAACATTTACAGAGGCTTCAAAACTCCACAGAAAAAAGAACATGAATAATAGGGGTGACACTTTATATTTATGTACTTTTGAAAAAGTAAAGTAAAATATATGACTCAACTTTACCGATAACGTAAAGTATGATGAGTGTACTTTATCCAAAAGGTAAAATAAAGTAATTGAACGTATGATATCCTGATTCAAATGTGCAAAATAAAGTGAAATCAAGTCAACAAAACAAATTTTACTTTACTTTACTTGGCAAAGTAAAGATAAAGTGACACCCATAATGAATAACTTTTGAATAATTCAAGTGTTATCCGTGAGTTTTCTATAATTTGATCTGATTTTGGTAAAAGTTTTGTCTCGTATAATATCATTTTTGTCTAATGAACTAAAATATATAATTCTGCTGCTTGAAAATATTTTAATAAAAAATGTGAAAACCTCGGATTTAAATCCAAGTGTTATGTGTACTTCAAAAAGTGAAAAGGTATATTCACTTTATTTTTTATTTGTTCAAAAACTGCTTAAATTCAACGAAATAGCATACTCCGAGAGCCGGTATTTTGGACTTTTCTCACGCGGTGCACTAGGCCTTGTATTTAGTTTTTTCTATAAGACATAGATCTCATCAAGATACATCCCTTATCACTAAATTGCAAGGAGAAAATACATGCGTGCTAAATTAGCATGGGCCACACTGTATGGGGCCTTATCCGGCGATCACTGACTCTACTCTCAGAGTGATATAATATCTTTAGAAATCACAGAAATTGAGTTCAGATTCGTGTTTAGTTTTAAAAACTGAGTAAGAAGAGTTATTTTTGAATGGATTTGCGTTTTCTATCTAGCGAGATTACGATCGTAAGCAATCTCATGAATCTATAAGAGATATGTGATAGATACAGGCATCAGTATTTTCCTAATAAATCACCAATATTAATAGATATGGAGTTCGAGTTTTACCTTACGATAGTCCTTTTAACTATCTTCGAAACCAGTTATTTGGGAAACTCCGAAACTACTGGTCATCTGAGACATATCCAGGCAATTTTGTTTCTGCATAGAGTTTTTGTGCATTTTGAGACCTTTTTCAGGTGATGTTTTGTTAGAAAGCTACGGTTTGGTTCAAAACTAATATCAGATTCGGAATCAGCGTTAAAAACTGAGTCGATTTATATATGTTGGGAATAATTCTGAGAAAAATGTTGTTTTTTGAAAAAATTTCTGTACCCCCGGCGATGTTTAGTTAATTCGGCCAGCGGTGGATCCAGGATTTTCGAGAGGGGATGGCGATTTCTAAATTGTTTTCAAACAAGCAAGTATGAATTTTCGTGAAGTATTTAAAAATGTGTGCTTAATCTTTCGAATTCTTTATTTCGCTTTATATAGTATATCACTATGAAGTGATGCCTTTTCATTTGCTTCTTGCTGGTGATTGTTGCAAATTGAGACTACTGGTTTTTTGAAAAACTTAGTAATAAAAGGATACATTTCAATCTAGAATATGGTATTCATTTGTTACTATAAAGCAGGCATCCCTGGGGAGTCGTCGGGGAGTCGTCGGGGGAGAGTGGATTAGGGATTCCCAAATATGTACATGTCATTACTACATGCTTTAGATATTTCGGTCAAATTATATTGAAAAAATCAGATATTTCCCGTAAAGTTTTCAATACCCCTGGCTACACAATTAGGCTATCCTAGTAAAATTGAGGTATTGTCAAGGTTTTTTGTTCACATAAGCTTTTGCTGGTTACGTTTCAATATTCAAGTGTACTTGATCAATTGTCAATGGATGATATTTATGATTAATCCTGTTATTCTACTTCTTGCTATTAGTCATTCGCTCAGAGAGCTTTATTTTATTACATATTCTGTACCTTATTTTCATGATCAAAGCTGACATCGTTTGATTAAATATCATATTGCAATATCTATTATATCATGCGTTGAATCATGAAAACATTTCAAAAAATTTCGCCGGTATTCTATCCTCAGCGGGGTGGCGATGGCCGGGTAGCCTAACTGGTGGATCCGCCACTGAATTCTACAATGTTAGTTTCATATAATTATTAAGATTAAAAATGAATAATGATTCTTTTAATAGTTGATATTTTAGATAGAATCAAATAATGTATTATATATATCTTTAAGCTCTTGTAATAATTTTCACACTCCCATACAGAGAACAAACGTATCTACTAACTAGACGCGCCAAACATAACATAATTCAATTTCAAAACGCAACAAAGAAAAAGCGATGAAGACGAGAGAGAGGAAAAGAACATATAGCGAGAAACTCGCGCAATTTTCAGAAACAAGACATGTGACGACACACGGCACCGTCACACACACACACCCGTCGTTCGTGTACTTGGTCTTCTTTAAAAAAAATACAGAACGATAACAAAAGAACAAAATTTAGTTACTGATATACAATCAGTGACCGACTTTATTTTCTTTTGGAAAATGAAAGACACAAACGAATGAACAAGAGAAAACAAAAACAAAAAGAAGAAATGGCAAGAAACACAAAAAATGTTACTTTTTTGTGTAAAATGATATCGAAGCCATTATCTAAAGTACAAAAGATAAAAGACTTTTTTTACAACAATTGAATTCCAACTTACTACTGCTAACGCGACCAAATATGACAAATTATCCAGATTATTGCTTAATCGATCCATTCCGTCATTAAGTTGTTTCAATTGACGACTTATTGTAACGATTCACTGTTCATTAGGTGAACCCAGAAGAATGAATCCTAGCCTAGGATCCGATGAGCTCCGATCGGTTCATTTTGGAATCCGACGGAGCTCTTCGGAACGCGCAAGGAAACCCAGGAGGATCATCCTGCCGTCTGAAAGGCCATCGGAAACGGCCTGAAACAGCTATAAAACGACATAAAACGGCATTAATTTTCACCCTATTTCGCCGTAATCCGTCAGCTCGTTTTACGGGCCGTTTTTTTTTGCTAGAAAACGGTCACGCTTTTAACACTATTCTCTTCGTTTTCCGAGCTGACGGAAAACGGCGCCGTTTTTTAACGTTTAACATCGTTTTTATACCGTTTACGGGCCATTTTCTTTCACCTGGGAACTATCGGATTATCGTCGGATTCCTGGTTCCGGAATCGATATCGGATCCTAATATCGGAAACTAATAAAATCCGACAGTAATCGTCAATCGGAACCGGAATGCTTCGAATTTCATTGGTTCCGACAATCGGATATCATTGGAA